ATATATATATATATATATATATATATATATATATGAGTTATAGTGTATAAACAATATTCTTTTATGTTTTGCTTAAACTAAATAACTTTAAATTTCATATTAGTTTTTAATCAATTTTTCTTCAAATCTCTATGTCAGATCCACTCAAACTTCTAGTTTTCAATGTGCAAAAGTGTCATACTTTTTTCATACATTTGTTTTTGTTGTGTCAGGGGGTTCACACACATACGTTTTCACATTAGTAAGATATTATCTATTTTGAGTATAAGTTCTTATGATTTTGTTTTTAATTATCACCTAAAAAGTTTCTTAATAATGGAGACATATGTGTGTATTTAAACCCATGTCTATCCTTATGTTCTAAGTATGTTTGTTGTGTAAGGGGGTTCACATACACACATACATCTTCGCATGGATAAGATATTGTTTAGTTTGGACCTGAGTTCTTATGACATTGTTTTTGATCATCATCTAAAAAGTTTCTTAACAATGGAGACATATAAACTTGTGTCTATCCTTATGTTCTAAGGATATGAGATTTAATTTTACTTTTGATCATCTATCAAAAGACCTCTTAACAATGAAAATATGTGTCTATCCTTATGTTCTAAAGACTTGAGACTCTGATTGCATCCCAATAATTTTATTATCTTCTAACAATCCTATTAGACTTTGAAATCAAATTCTATTTATCTATTTTCTAATAAAAAGGTTGAAACCAATCTTAATTTAATTTATTACTATCACTGGTGTAACTGTCATGACAATAACATAAATAATAATATAAATGATAATAAATAATGATGATAGTAATTGTAGTGATGATAATAAATGTTAACAACAATAATAAAGACGATAAATTAAATAAATGGTTAATAAATTAACTCAATAATTAAGGAATCTCAAAGAATTTTAAGGGAAATTTTTGTTTTAATTAAGATTTTTTTTTAAAAAGGGGGTGTGTTTATACGAGAGTGGAAGTGTGTTAATCATCTGCCTTAAAAGAAATCTTTCATCCAATATGGATTTGATGTAATTCTTTTGGGCCTAACATAGCCGATAGACTTTCTTAGGTACTTTTACCGTTGCTCTTCAATCAGAATCGGAGTCTCACCTTGATAAATTTATGTTGACATTTACTACAATTCTTTGTTATTTATCATAATAAATCTCTAATTCTGATAAATAAATAAAAAACCAAAAAGTACTTAACAATTATATTTAAGTTTTGTCTTTGTTGAATTGGGTTGTGATGTTATCAACAAGTACAACCCATAATGTGAGATTTCCAAACATTGAGCAGGGTGCTTCAGGAGTTGGGATTGGAAATTTTGAGGAGGTTGGGCCTTTGGACACAAGCTTGAAGCCACGCAATTCCACATGGTTGAGAAAAGCAGATCTCTTGTTTGTGGTAATAACTATGAAAAAGAGTTTTATTTTTTAATTTTATATATATATGCACATTTTGTGGCTCTCAGTTATGATCGCTCAATGTTTTTTTAATGTTGTGGACGGTATAGGACAATCCAGTTGGAACGGGGTACAGTTTTGTGGAGGACAAAAAGCTCTTTGTGAAAACAGATGAGGAAGCAGGCACTGACTTGACTACATTGTTGATTGAGATATTCAATGGGGATGAGAAACTGCAAAAGAGCCCTCTGTTCATTGTGGCAGAGTCATATGGCGGCAAATATGCTGTCACTCTTGCGTTATCTGCTCTCAAAGCTATAGAAGAGGGGAAATTGAAGCTTATACTTGGAGGTAATTCTCTCTTGAATTATATGCTTCTGTCATATTCTAGATGGTCTTTTGGGGTGAACCCATGATTCCTCCATACAGAGTTAGAGACTAATCTCTTGGTATATTCTGAAATTTATTTAAAAAGTTAATCTCTCGCATCATATACGTTATCATACACTTGGTGTCAAGGATTGAATCCTAGGCTACATGTTTAAGAGATCAAATTATTTATCAATCATATCGCACCGTGTTAAGGGATTAGTCTTTTTCAATATGTGATGGTTAAAAACAATTTTAACTTACGAGTGGGGTTAAGTGGTGAATTTCTTTATGTTAGTTAGGAAATGGGTCAAATGATGATTTGGTGTAACTTTTTTCCTTGTGTAGGTGTGGCATTAGGAGACAGTTGGATCTCCCCAGAAGATTTTGTGGTATGTAATAAGTAGAATTGTTCTGCCATGCAATTTATGTTGAACTTTCACGTTTCTCAATATTCAATCCAATATTGCAGTTCTCATGGGGTCCTCTCCTCAAAGACCTCTCAAGACTTGATGATAATGGACTGCAAAAATCAAACAGGTTAAATCAGTTTTCCATCTTCTCAAGTAGAAACAACCATGTATTACACAGCTAAAACTGAAGTAATATTCTATGGAATGGCCATTTTCTGCGTTATCTAACAAACCCATTTTCAATATCAGTATAGCTGAGAGGATCAAGCAGCAACTTGAGGAGGGTAAATTTGTTGATGCCACCAACTCATGGAGTGAACTTGAGTCAGTGATTTCTGCTAGCAGCAACAATGTGGTACTATGATCTTCATTCAACATCTTTCTATCTCCTCATTGTGCTTTAATGTGTACTACTACTTTAGTACTCCTAAAAGGTCCTATAATTTTTTGTTAACTTCAGGACTTCTACAATTTTTTGGAAGATGAAGGAAGTAATGACTTATCAGCAATGGAGTTGGGGTTATACAAAGAAATATCGATGAAGAGGTACTCAAGGTATCTTACTTTCTTGAGGTCAAGGTCAACTCCTGGTGGTGATAATGATCTTGACGAGTTACTAAACGGTGCCATAAAGAAAAAGTTGAAGATCATCCCTGAGAATGTCACGTAAGTCTGTTTTTCTTTGACAACAAAGGACAACTCTCAATTCGACTTCAAACCAATCAAATGATCACTTAGAATTGTGCTGACAGATGGGGAGGGCAGTCAAATGATGTTTTTACATACCTTGAAGGTGATTTTATGAAACCAAGAATTAATGAGGTAAGAAGAAAACAAGTGCTGAATAAGCTCAAAACTATGGTTTTAACTTATAAGTTTCTATTTAAATGAAAATAGCCCTGTTCTCAACCATATCCTATATATATTGTCCATTTGAGCTTGAAATCAATGTTTCTAGTAAGCTTTCTGCTTTCCCGATTTTCCTTTCCTATTTTCAATATTTTTTGTTCTTTAATTTAAAATCCCCAGGTTGATGAACTGCTGGCAAAAGGAGTCAATGTGACTGTGTACAATGGACAAGTAAGGTCCCTTTTCCCAACACTTTCATATTGTATAATAAGAATTGAGGATATTCATAATTGGATGCATATAATATTGGTCACCCCAATTATTTTATTTAACATGTGGACTAGTTACCATCTTATCAGATTATTTTATTTGATTGATTTGGCGATCTTGTTTTATCCTTCAAGTTTAAACATGTTGTGTTTTAATATCAGGTAACATCATATTCTGTCTGATTATTATATTTATAGGTTGATCTGATTTGTGCAACCAAGGGGACTGAAGCTTGGGTTAACAAATTAAAGTATGCATCCCTTTCTCTCCTAATTTATCCTTCAAGATTGTTGAAATTGAAAGCAAAGTTTCTTATCTTTTTATTTTTATTATTCTATAGGTGGGAAGGGCTTAAAAATTTCTTGGGGAAAGACAGAACACCCCTCTACTGTGGAAGTGACAAATCGACGACCAAAGGCTTTGTTAAGTCATACAAAAACCTTTACTTCTATTGGATCCTCAAAGCTGGACATTTTGTAAGTCAACATCAATCACCTTCTCAACAGCTATGCATGAGTTTTCAATGCAGCAATACAGTATTACTAGCATCAAACAAAGTCACTTGCCTTGTGCTCATCCTCACGTCATCTTCTACATTAAGAAATAAAATAAATAATTACTACTTAGAGTCATGAAGATATAAAGACCACAATCCAATTCTTCTACTATTATAAAGGTTCACTTTGATATTCACTACAAATATATATATTATGACCTTTTTATTTTATAAATTAATAATATACTTTTTTTTGACAAATCTAAATCTTGAACTTGATAGTTTTATCCTTGAATTGGCTATGAGAGTAAACATTAATATCAACTTGCAGATAAAACTAAAATTAAAAATAGATGAGCCAGATCCGGTGTCAAAATTTATTAGATAGTTTGATAATAATTAAAGCCAATAAATAAGAATGGGTGCAACACTTTTGAAATAATAATGGTTTAGTTTGATTCCGCCCCATATTTAAAATATGAATAGAAAAAGGAATATGAGTATATTTTATTTATATCCAAAATGCATAGAAGGCATCCCTAAACACCAAAACAAGTGCAAGTGACGTCGGCAATGACATACTCTTCAAGTTTACCACCGTCAGAAAAGAACTTATGCGTTGAATATTTGGAGGTTGATTTATAAGCCTCGCCTCACCCCCCACTTGCAGCATTTTTTTGCGTAAATAATATTTTTTTTAAAAAAAATTACAAAAGTAATATCTGTGCAAGTTTATTTATTGAATTAGAACTAATTACTGTTCATCCTCAGAATTCGGTTTTCGGGAAACTGAATTCTGAGTTGTTTTAAATTTTTTTTTTCTGGGTTTGTGACCCATTTTGAGCAAATGTTGTAAGTGGAACGGTCCGTTCCGAAAGCATAACGGGTCGTTATGCTTAAACACACAGTTTTTTTTGAAATAAAAACGGGCTAAGAACGGGCCGTTCTAGAGTTAAGATTTTACGCATAAGTTGACTTTTGAAATGACCCGTTTTAAAAATGATTTTAGTTATTTTTTTTAAGCTGGAACGAGCCGTTCTTGTTTTAGAACGGCCCGTTCCAGAATAGAAATTTAAACATTTTTTTGAATTTGGAACGGCCTTGAAACGCCCCGTTCCAGAAGACGTTTTTAGGAATTAAAACGTGGTTTGGAACGGCCCGTTCTGGGCAAACAGTGAATACGCTGCTTTTCCTATAAATAGGCCCCCTACCCTTCATTCTCTCCACATGGTTTCAGCTCAGTTTCATTCCTTTATTCCTTCCCTGTACTGCTTCTGAATCACCTTCATAGTAATAAATTCTTTTTTTGGTTCGATTTTCATTAATCAAATATCAAAAATGTTATTGTGGAAGCAAAATGAGCATAGGTCTGCCTTTATTGGTAGAACGGTAAGTTTAGCACTTTCGTTATTTACTTTAAATTTCAACGAACTTGTAACAAATTAGTACTAATTTTGTTAATTATTGCAGGAGACTGAGAATATTATTTGCTCTTACTGTCATTCAATGCCAGAACCCCACCCTCTAATTGTTCCTATACTAGAGGAAGTTGGTTTTTCTGGGGTTGCAAATCTCAGACATCTGAAAGTGGATCACACATTAATCACAACTTTGGTTGAAAGATGGAGATCTGAGACTCATACCTTCCATTTTCCAACAGGAGAGTGCACCATAACACTGGAGGATGTTGCACTTCAACTTGGCCTAAGAGTTGATGGTTTACCAGTCATTGGCCCAACATTATATGACTGGGAGGAAATGTGCTCCACGTATCTCGGAATCGTGCCAATTAAAGGTGAGTCACTAATTGGCTCTATGATTAAGTTAAAGTGGTTAAGAGAAAATATGTTAGAATTACCAGAGGAACCATCTCAAGAACAACTTCATGCACATTGTAGAGCATATATATTAGGATTAATAAGAGGTGTTTTGATGCCTGACAAAATAGGCAATAAGGTACATCTTATGTATTTATCTTTATTAATAAATCTTAGAAGAACAAGACGATATAATTGGGGGTCGGCTTGTTTGGCTATGTTATATATTCAATGGTTATATTGGACGGTGCGGTGGGAAAGACTTGAGAAGTCTCGAGAAGCTCTTCACATGGGCAGTCAGAAGGTGAAGTGGAGGAGTTAAAGTGGTGTGGGGCCTGATGAGTAGGCACTAAAGGAGTAGGGTGTGAGGGTTGGAATACAGGGGGTTTAATATTGGTAGTATCATCCTGAACATCGTGGTTGTCTTCTTTTGTTCGGAAGGGGCTACTAAATCACCGTTATTGGGCTTTGGGCCTTCGTACAATCTGTGAAAATCGGGTTGTTACAATTCTCCCATCCTTTTAGAAATTTCATCCCCGAAATTCACCTGAAAATAGAAATGGGTAGGCTCCTCGCATCTTGCTTGCTAATTCATAAGTCATAGTCTCTCCAATCCCCTTTCGAAAACTCTACTAGTAGGAAAATTCATATAACCTCACTACCTCTCTGATGTACATCTCTATCAATACGGGTAAGGTGAGCCACCTTGGTGAGTTTATCCACTATAACCCAAAAAGAATCAAATTTCTTAAGCATCTTAAGGCAAAACTACAACTAAGTTCATAGATACAGAGTCTTACTTCTAAAATGAAACGTTTAAAGGCTGCAAAATTCCTAAGGACTTCTAGCATACTAGACATGAGTACATGAATTACTCTACTCCTCTCTTCACCTTAAGCCACTATGCTTTCGCTGCGCCACTCTGATACATCTTAGTAGCTCCTAAATGAATGCTAAGAGTACTCTTATGTCCTTCTTCTAAGATCATCTTCCTTAATTCGAGATTACTAGGCACCCAAATTTTGTTCTTGCACTTCAAAACAATGTCAATTCCTACTTAGAAAAGTTATTTATACCCCTACCAATCTTCTCTACTTGGTTCACTAAGAAAGGATCTAACTCTTGGCTTCTCTAATCTCATCCATTAACTCACTAATCACTTTCAATATACCTAATTCCATGCTCTTAAGGTAAGCTCACTCACCAAGCTTAAGTCTCTAAATTCTTCAATCAAATCCAACCCTTAAATCATCAAAAATAATAGGTGAATAGTCATCCTACTCAAGGCATCTATCATAATATTAGCTTTATTTCTATGACCCTCTCCAAAGATCAAGTGCCTAAGCGTAAGTTCACTAGGTGTACATACTTGATTCTAAATCTCACCACTCCCCTACAACCAAGGCAAATTTCTCGTCCATTATCTTATCCTATAGCCTCATATCTTGCCACTAAAAGTGTTGTGCGGCGGTGATGAGAAAAAATAGTGTTGTGCGATGAAGGGGGTGTAGGGTGCGGGGAATGGGGGTACGGGGAAGGGAGGTGTAAGTTTAGAAATAAAATTTTTTTTAAGGGTAATTTAGACATTTTATATAATTTTTTTTTAAAAAGGGGGTGTGTTTATACGAGAGTGGAAGTGTGTTAATCATCTGCCTTAAAAGAAATCTTTCATCCAATATGGATTTGATGTAATTCTTTTGGGCCTAACATAGCCTCCCGCATTCAGTGAAACCTTGTCCTTAAGGTTTAATGGGCCAGATGTTGCTGGATTGGTCTCAACAGGTGGAGAAAGTGGTGGACACCACGTGGGTTGCTGAAAAGGACATGGCTGTTCCTCAATGGTTATATTGGACGGTGCGGTGGGAAAGACTTGAGAAGTCTCGAGAAGCTCTTCACATGGGCAGTCAGAAGGTGAAGTGGAGGAGTTAAAGTGGTGTGGGGCCTGATGAGTAGGCACTAAAGGAGTAGGGTGTGAGGGTTGGAATACAGGGGGTTTAATATTGGTAGTATCATCCTGAACATCGTGGTTGTCTTCTTTGAGGGTGGACGGCGGCGCGGAAATGTGTGAGGGTGGTTTGGGGTCGTGGTAGGCGCGCATGAGAGAAACATGAACACAGGGTGTATCTTGGATGTACTTGGTAATTGAAGCTCATAGGCGACACTGCCAATGCGGCGGAGCACCTGAAACGGGCCAAAATAACGCTTCGCGAGCTTGGCTGATGGACGATGGTATCAACTAGGGATGTTAAATGGAGTTAAACTCTCCAAGTAATCTACCTTAAAAATAATATACAAACACTAGAAAAAGCAAATAAAGTGCCTCACAAATACAAATGCAAAAATAACTTATACAAGAGACTATGTATAAACTGTACAATATACACAAGTAGAACTAGGCCTTCTCTTCATGATAGAGCATTCCAAGTGAAGAATACCTAGGGCTTGACAAGCCCACTAGTCTTCACAAGGTCCAACTCTTCCTGTATTCTTCTAGCCATAGCTCTGGTAACTGGGCCCTTGGCCCATGGTCTATCACAATTCCTTCTGAGCAACAACCTCCACGGCGTAATCCAGGCTGTAATAGACGTCTCCCTCGTTGTGGAACTGAACACCATTACGGAGATTGAAAAATATATATAAATTACTTTATGTTAATGTTATTGTTTTTTTATTTTAATGTACTATGTCTCTTTATCAATGTAATATGAATTTTAATGTTATGCATTTTTACATTTAATGCACTAAGAAGGTTATAAACTATTATAATTATAAGCATTATAGCGAACACAATATACGATTTCAACACAAACACAATGTAGTATCCGACACTAACACCAAGTAATTAACTTTAATATTACATAACTAAATAAATTTATTTCAACTGATTACAACAATAAATATCAATGGTGGCAGGAACTACATCCATGACTAATATTCGGACATGTCTTCCTAGTGTGACCAGGACTGTGACAATAAGAACAATTTTTTACATGACCATGTTGTTCTCTAATATCCATCTTTGTTCTAATCCTGGTGAACTTTGGTTGACCCTTGGAAGTTCTCTTCAGTTCTGGATTTGGCCACAAAGTTGGACCAGTGTAAGTAGGCCAATAATCTTCATGTCGAAGCTCTCCAAACTGTCCTTCGTATACCTTTGCAACTTATTGTAAGGTATATATGGGAGATATGTAGCTTTGATAGTCGTGATGTGCATGAAACAAGTACATGTGAGCAAGGGATATGAACTTTCTGGAACTTGCCACAATCACACCACAATTCATCAAGCCTTATTGCAAATCTCTCAGCTGTTTAGGATTTAGGGTTTAGGGTTTAGGGTTTAGGGTTTAGCCTTATTCCACTAGAAATCTACTGCTTGATCTGTCAAAGGTGATAACTCTATGTGTATTTGCCTAAGCCATTGCATCTTGAATAGTTTTATTTGCAATTTTCGAGTAGACATGCCCACCATTAATCATTGCATCCACTTCCCTACCTCTTTGAACGAAAAACTTGTTGCAACGTGTGTATGTCGCCATTACCATGGAACAAATTGACAAATTTCGTGTTTTCTTCAATATGGAATTAATTGACTCAGCTAGGTTTGTTATCATGTGCCCCCAACGTCGTCCATTGTCCCATGCAAGTATCCATTTTTCCCTAGGAATGTTGTCTAATCATTGAGTTGCTTCAACATTAGTATCTCTTACTATGTTGTAATAGTAAAAGAATCTAGGTTTAGTCATCCCGTAGGCTGCAAAATTTTTTTTTTAAATAATGAAAAGTAATAATCAAATGGTTTAAAAAAGTAATGAGAAAATTACTCATATTGACGACATCCTTCTTCAGTGCTGCATTTTTAAATCGTCGCATGAAATTTTGTGCAATATGTCGAATACAATAGACATGGACAAAATTGTTTTCCGTCCAGCCACTTCCATTACTTGAGTATGCACTTCGAATAGCTTCATGACGATCAGAAATAAGGCACAACTCATCTTGCGGTGTTACATACCGCCTTAAGTTCTTAAGGAAAAAAAAACATGCATCACTAGTTTCACCTTCAACAACAACAAATGCAATAGGAATTATGTTGTTGCGACCATCTTGCGCAACTGCGACCAATAGCGTACCTTTGTATCTCCCGTATGAAAAGGTACCATCCACTTGTACAATTGGTTTGCAGAAAGCAAAACCATCAATGCATGGTTTAAAGGTCCAAAATAACCTTTTGAATATAACACTCCCCTCGTCCAATAAGCCACCTTGGTAAGCCGGTTGCGTATTTAATTTCCAAATAAAACCTGGAACATACATTTGCATTGCTTGCAACATACCTGGTAACTTGTTGTACGACTCCTCCCAGTTTCCAAAGATATTCTCAATGGCATGTTGCTTGGCCAACCATCCCTTTCTGTAACTAATTGTATAACCCATGGTGGACTTGATGTGGGCTATGATGGTTGAAATGGATGTCGATGGATCAACCTCAATAATTTCAACAATGATTTGAGCAATCATTTGTGATCCCAATTTATTATGATCTTGGGAGATAAGTGGGGAAACACATGTGTGAGGGCCCTCAAGGATCATGATTTCCCAATGTTGTTCCCTGGTAAACAATATACCACGACATCTCCAGGCACAGTCGTGGTGAACGCATTCCATAACAAGCCTACTAGTGCTTGAGTGTTTAACCTTGTAAGTGCAATGGTTGACAATGTGAAATCTATTTATGGCGTCCTGCATTTGTTCTTTTGTTTAGAAGCGTTGGCCAACAAATAGTGTTCTAGGTGGATACACAACTATATCACGCTCCAACAAATGGCTATACTCAGTGTCTTGTTGGATTTCATTGGGAAACTCAAAAAAGTGTGGAGGTGGGTTGTATATGGCTACTGTTTCTAGTGGTGGATTATTTGGAACTGGGAGGGTTTCTTCATCATCATCTTGATGTGTAGAGAGAATTTCGTCTTCGTCCTCGCTAAAAGGATCAAAGACATTTTCTGTTGGGAGACCAACAACAAGATGATCTTCAATGTTGGTTTGAACATTGGGTTGAGAAGCAGAAGGTGTAGCTTGGTCAAATGGTTGAGAAGGTATTTGATTAAGGTCCATGATTGGACCAGTTAAAAACTGTGTGTATGACTCAATGTCGTAGTTGGAGGGGATATCATAAGAAGGGCCAGATGGGTTAGTGTTCTGGTAACTTTGATAAATTTCGTAAGGTGAACGTGAAGGTGAAACTTGTGGTGCATGTGATTCAATTGTAGTAAATGTAGACTATAATTCAATAACTGATTGAAGTTGA